GACTATAGTCCAGGCTGCAGACGTCTATCCGGGCTATGATAGTCTGTAGCTTTTACGTCACTGAGCTATGGCTAGAACAGCCTACAGTAGCCACGACTTGCAGTTCCCAAAAAAAAAAAAAAAAAAAAAGGTCCAGGGGATGGGTTCCAACTAAGTCTAGACGGCTACCGAAATTTTGTAGATGGCTTTTTTTTTTTTTTCAGGGGCCATGCTAATCTTCTCTGTATCGTTCCAAGTTTAACGAATGTCCCCAAGGACCGATGATGGCTTTTTTTCATTGCAGCTACATTGCCCATTGCCCTTGTCCTTTGACCAGAAATTGGGAGAATAGGTTCCCCTATAGTATACTACCCCTAAAGTAAGGCTGAGAATGTCTATTGAAGCCTAGAGGGCTACCGTACTAGGGCCTAGGCTACCTAAGCAATCGTTTTTTTTATTGCAGCTATAGTTTCCCCTTTTACTTTCACGAGAAATTGGCAGAATAGGGTTCGCCTACAGCCTTCACCCTTTAGTACGTGTGAGAATATCCATTGACGTCCACATGGCTACCTACGCATTTATTTCATTGCCAACCGTTTTTTTTTTCCCCTTGCAGCTATTCCTTGCCCGGGTTGCCCCTGCATTTCCCCTATTGGCTATAGTTTGACCGACAACAGCTGCCTCTTGAAGTTTGACCGACAACAGCTGCCTCTTGAAGTTTGACCGAGAATAGCTGCCTCTTGAAATTTGACCGATAATAGCTGCTCTTGTAGACTAAGTTTGACCGAGAATAGCTGCTCTTGTAGACTAAGTTTGACCGAGAATAGCTGCTCTTGTAGACTAAGTTTGACCGAGAATAGCTGTTCTTGAAGTTTGACCGAGGACCGAGAACGGATGCTCTTGGAGTTTGACCGAGAATAGGCGTTCGTGAAGTTTGACTGGGAACTGCTGCTACTCAAGTTTGACCGAGAATAGCTAAACCCCAGACGAAAGGTACCGCTCTTTGTGTTCGTTTTTCTTTTGCTTAGAAAAAAAAGAAAAAAAAGAAAAAGAGCGATAATCTTGAGATATACCCACAGGGCCGAGGTCCCACCAGCAAAATGGATAGGATCGAGATCCTGAATCTGGATGTGTTTTATGCAGAGATGCAGAAAATCAGTTCAATCTCGATTTCCTGCACATCTCCATAATCTCGTCCAGATTCAGGCATTCGATCGGATCCTCTTTGCTAGTGGGACCACGCCCCAGGTGACCAAACCCCAGGTAATTCAAGATTATTAGGTAGGGATGGGAGTCTTAAACCCTTAAAAGGGCCTAAGGATGTGCTTGTTCTAGCTCAATTAAAGAGAGCAGCAGCAACTGCTCTTTTTTCTTTCCTTTTTTTTTTCCTTTTTCTTTTTTTCCCTTTCTTTTTTCTTCTTTTTCTTAAATGCACTAACTGCTCTTCAAATTTGGCTCAGTGCCTGAGAATTGTTTCGACCTCGCTTTTATAGGTCCACCACCGAGAACACCGCCTTCTCTACCTTTGTAGCTTGACCGACCGACAATAGCTTCTACCTCGCTTTTATAGTTTGACCGTTTGACTTTTTGACCAAGTTTGACCGAGTTTGACCGAGTTTGACCGAGTTTTAATGAGAATAGCTGTTCTTCAAGTTTGACTTAGAATGTGTACTTCAGCCTTTGTCAGTAGCTTCAGCAGTTTGACTAAGAGAATATGTTCTGCCGCGCTTTCAGTAGCAGGACTGAGAATAGCGTCTTCCAGACTCTTGTACGTTGACCGAGAATAGCTTCTGGCTTGCTTTTCAGTTTGACTGAGAATGGCTTGTGACGCCCTAAACATTGCACTTTGACAGAGAAATGGGAATAGCGTCTGACCCAGAACAGACTATAGTAGTACTACCGTCTTCCCGCGAACATAACGCACCCTGAAAATGAACGTATACAAGGTAAGTTTCCGGCCCGGTACAGTCAAAATGAGGCTGCGTTGTGTTCG